ATAGGCAGGTGCTAGTTATACGAGAGCCTTGAATTGAGGAACTATGTGGCGCGATAAGGATGTTTATGACTGAAAGGGAAAAATAATTGCTTATTGAAAGCTAGGAGGTAAGTTGAAATCTATCATCCAGAAAATTATAAACAAATAAAAAATCAGACACATTAATGCTCATATTAATAGACACAACCACTTTGTATAATATGGTTCATAGACAAATCTGAGGAGAGCAAATAAACATTTTTTGGATTCTCATTCTCATATCTCAACCAATAATAGTATACATGTTTAATATGACATAAAGTTATTACCTTGTTTTGTAAATAAGTAGATCTTCACTCGTGAGATGAATGTGTTATAAAAAATACTTTAAATTACATAAACCGGTGTGCGAAAAAAAAATCGTATTACATAAAATAGTCTTATACACAATTTCGTCCAATTTACTCAAAAATAACTTTAACCTTACTTATTTTGATCGATCATTATATAATAAGGTCTGAGAAATAAAATGTTTGTATTTCAAAAAAAAGTCAAATAAGACTAAAACACTGAACATAACAGTTATAAAATTGCAATTAATTGATTTTATAATATAATGTTTTTACTTGGATTGAAATTTTATAGTCTGGTTTGATCTGGTCTGGTCTGATCTTGTCTACTCTGAATTGGTCTGATATGATAGATGTCTAATCTCTCTGTATTTTATATATGTCGAAGTGTGATCTGATATATTTAAGTCTACTTTGGTTTGATCTTGTTTGAGATTGAAATAAGTCTAACTAAACATATCTTGGAATGTTTTTATTTGGAATGTTTTCAGTCCTAGACCAGACCAGATTAGACCATATTTGATTAGACTTGAATAGTTATATATGTAACTAGTGTAACACTTGTCAATGGCATTTTATTGTTCAAAAAAGGAATATGTTTACATACTACGTATATTTTATTGAGAAATGAGAAACATGATTTTAAAGAATTGATGTGTATAAGATTTATTATTATTTTAGTTTTAGATTTATCATTATTTTTATTTTTTGTTTATGTGTACATTAGTTGAAAAAGATGGGAAAAGAGACAAATAAACCATTCTACTTATTCGAATCCATCACATAAACCATGTACAAAAATAAGCATCAAACAGATATGCTCACTCACTAAAAATGACCAATTAAACCCATGTGACCTGAGATGATCTGTTGGGGCAGGCAAAGGATCTTTATTTAAGTCCATTCATACTTACTTCTGTATCGTAGGTGGCTTTGTTTTCTTTTATTTTTCTTTCTCTTTGTCTTTCATATTGACCGAGCTAAACTTGTAAGTATATAAATGTTGATATAGTAATAAATTCCGGTAAAATACCAAGTCGAATCCATAGGGAGATGTTGTTTAATTTAAGTCCGAGAGTATAAAATTTTATATATATAGAAATGAGTAAAGTGCAAGGATTTTGATTTGTATTTGATATGAGAACAATTGCTTTAGTTTTACTTTGATTTTAGGAATATAAATAGATTTAATTTAAAACGATTGATAACAACGACTAAGGCTTCGGGAATCGCCTAAATACTTCTAACAAATATTGATTCAAGTTTTTGCCAACAACTATGAATACGATGTCGCTAATATATTCCCAACTCTAGATAAGGCAGCGGGAGTGTGGTTTTTGTTACGTGTAAGTCTCATTACAGCTTACATTCATCTACCGAAAACCCTCTTGAATATCGAGACATCACACACGTATCATATAAGACTGGATATATTTCTATTCTCGGTTCTATATATGTTTGTCCTTTAAGTTCATAGTTTATTCCTCAATCTTTTCATTGCAAGCATAAACTAAATTCAATATACTTCCATGTTGATCATCATAGTAATACACAATTAAATTATAAAGGATAAATCACAATTTATTGGTTGAGAACTTATATCAAACATCTATTATGCGTAAAGGTTCATCTCTAGCCTTAGCTAAGAATTTAGCTTCTTGAACTCATACTAATCGCAAAAGAGTAACTAAGATACAGGAAATACAACAATATACAAGAAAAATTACCTAGGACCAAATGCAGATGAGAGAAATGGCCTCTTCTCCAACTCTTCAAGAGAATACAAAAATAAAACATAAAAACTGAAATTTAAACTCTAAAGATGGATTGATGATCTTGTTTGATGAAATGAGGGCTTTATATAGGATAAAGAATGACATCTTGTAGTCTATTCGAACCCAACAATCAAACATGGAAGCAATATTTGATCAGATCATAAGGAAGGTGAAATTTTCCCATCAAGAATAGGCTGCACGTCGTTGTGTTCTTCGCAGGTAAACGTGGTGACCAACACTGGATGGTCAAGTGACCTGCGCCGGTTAGACTGATTTTTCGCCATTTGCTTCGTTTGACCGGCCCCAGGTGATTACAGGCCCCTTTGCTTCATTTGTCTTATCTGAACTATTAGTTGGATGGAGTAAATCTGTTTCGCAAAATGGGTTAAAAAATGCTCGGATCCGATTACTTGACCATATTAGATCATACAGATCAGACCATATCCGATCAGAATAGACAAATTAGATAAAAAGTCAGTCCAATTAAAAACGTTTTAAATTGAGCCCTTCCTAAAATTTAGAGCTCCATATATGTAGATTAAAGTTCAATAAATCTTTTAAAAGTATTCAGGAGTAAAATTTGGAGTTAATTAGCTTACTATGGAGTTATATAAACACTATACAAGCAGAAATGAGATAGACATACAAAATTAAACTAGCTTATTGTGGAGTTAATCATTCACATTTTAAAAATATTCATGAGTAAATTTTTATTTGTCACCAACAATTGAGATGATGACACATGATTAATTTGGTACTGAAATGCAAAAAGGGACCTTAACATTTACACATGAAACCTCAAAAACTAATTCCTTGATAACGATCTAATTGAGAAAAAAAATCTTAAAAATATTATAAAATTATGAATATGAATTTTATTCATGTATGAATTTATACAACGAGTTCATTTAACTCTAAGTCAATGTTTCAAAATAATGGTAAGAAGTGTTTAATATAGCTCCAAGGCACCAACTTTTTAATGAGATTGTTAGGCTATAATAGAATTTCCTAGCCTATGGTATTCATTTTCTGATTTTTAAAATGCACCCATAAAACTTTAATAACATAACTATACTTTAAATCTGAAATTTTCATAAATTATCATATGGATCATACTATATATAAATCAATAATTGAGAAAGCAAGTTTACATGTAGAACTTTGCCAGTAACATATCGATTATATAGACATTCTTCATACTCAATATTGAAACACATATTAAAGATTATATCGATTTAACTCACGTGTATATTCATCCCTTATATCAAATATCTATAAAAAATTGAAACAAAGATTACCGACCTCCAAACCTGGAATACACGGACATATATTGTAACACAAATCTTTGATGTTTTCTTAGTATGAATCTAGATATCTACTTTCTCAAAAGGCAACATGTAGAATTATTGGAAAATATCGCATCCTAATAGATTTTAGTGTCTCTTGAAGATATATTTGATGTATGATGAAATAGTCATATTAACCAAGCATTCCAGCTCAGCTGGTTGTGAGGTTACCGTGCCTAGTGGGAGGTCTCGAGTTCGAAATCCGCTAGACACATAAGGATTTGAAACTCAATGGAATGAGTTTCAGCCCTGATTGCTCCAGGTCCCCCAGCCCCCCTCCCCCAGACCCCTGGAGTAAAAAAAAAAGATGAAACAGTCATATTATATAATCTGAACTAATGTATTTAAAGTAATTCTTTCATTTACATACTGTTGAAATGAAAATCAGAAACCTAAAGGTCTTATACATGATAAAATTCAAAATCCACAAGGTTCTGATTAATATGTATTTAAAGTAATTCTTTCATTTACATATTGTTGACATGAAAGTCAGAAAACTTAATTAATATGTTTTAAATCTTAGCTCTCAAGGTTCAACTATAAATTAAATTAGAACTACGAAGTAATATTTAACCTAGAACGAAGAAGAAGAACGTTGAAGATTTCTAATATATTCAACAATTTGATGATATTCGTTTTTATATTTTCACATGAACTTAGTAAATTAAAAATGATATTTATCTCGTGCGTCATCGTTTTGCGATACTTTTTCTTAGTTGTGTTGCACTATTTGTGTATTTGTGAATTTTAGTACTAGGTATGCAATTTCTTGTATTTATTTCAACATTTCATGTGAGTTGGTTGGTGTGATGATATCTACTACGGAGTAATTGCAAGATTTGTTCAAAAATTTAAGCATGTGTTTGACATTGTACCGTACCGTTTTGTACCGTTCCGAAACGATATGGTACCGAACGGTTCTATCCTTGGGACCGGACCGTACCGGATCGTTAAAAATCTCACGGATACATTACGGGTTTTACCAATTTACCGGACTGTTTCGGACCGCGCTCACCCCTACCAATCACAATATGCAACCTATTGTTTCTGTCATCACCTTCATTAAAATCGAAACGTCATAAAACTATGTATTCTTAAACTCTTTTCTTAAAGAAAGAGATCAAAAGACTAATTTGAAAATTTCTAAAACCTAGAAGGGCTAATATCTTAGCAAAAATTGACTACATCCAATTTTAGATAAATAAATTACAAAAATGTGTAGTTAGTTTTAAAAAAGTAAACCACAAATGAAATTTAATTGACAAAATAGGCATTGAGCATTTTTTTGTTTAGATAAAAATAGATTAATTTAAATAAAAATAAACTAAAAGGTCATGGCCACAACAACATGTTTTTTTTGTTTAGGCACTAAGGGTTATAAAATAATATGCTCTTTTTATTGAAAAATATAAACTGAAAACATATTTAAATAATTAATTCAAAAATAAGGCATACTCAATAAATTATAATATGCAATTTAAATCAGTGTTATAATCAACTAAATAAGTGATCATCTGTTAGTAAAACAAAACAACAAAATCATTTCAAAAACAAGGCATACTAGTTTCAGTAGAATTAAAAACTTCCTTACTCCATTTACCAAAATAAACAAAGCTAGATAATACGGAGTAGAAGAAACGCAGTCGATCCCAGTGCAGCGTTGATGGTACGCCTAGTAGGCGCCAAACTCCATGGGCTTCAAGAATTCTAGTAGCTTCATTCGCATGAAGATCGGGCTCTGAGGTCAACACAGTAAATTGAGATATTATATCTCCATTTACTTCTCTCTTCATTAGCTGGTATTACTGAGTTCATACAATCCATCAATAGTTCTAGTACAGTAGTATTTATAAATTTCTTCGCTGTTATTTCCATACAGGTTATACGAGTTCTCCTTTCTGGGGGTTTTTATTTTTTAATAGGGTTGTAGTGTTTTCTGGAGAAAGTTGATCCACACCCGATTGAATTGTCAATTACTGTATTGGGGGATCCATTTTCACCGACCTGCTTTGGGTGCTATTGAGTAAAAGTTGAACAATTTGCCAGCATTCTTGGTTCTTGGTCCAGAAAGGGCTATACTTTTCTTTGGACTATCTAAATATTAATGAGGGCATCTCATTTTTTCTGCTTTCCAACCATTATCTTCTTGTCCGGAACGTCAGATGCTCTAATTGATAAAAAAAAAAGCTTAAGTATAGTGTACGGTTGAATAGGATGACTGGATGGTTGCCTTTTCCTCCCTTTGTTCTTTCTTTTTTCTTGGAATTACAGTAAACTTGGTGGAACTCATTTGATTAAGATCTTAATATGTCTTGGTATTGGTTTGCATTATATGGACTGAAAAATCTATTGGAGTGAAACAAACAGAAGTTTGAGAAATCAAGGGGGAAATGTCTTCATCAAGATCAGGCACAAACAGGACAAGTTCTGCTCGTTCGAGACATGATGCTCTTGTTGTTTCTCAGACACCAATTGATGCTAAGCTCCATGTCGACTTTGAGGAGTCTGAGGAAAAATTCGATTATACAACTTCAGTCAGTTTATCAAATCCTACCGATATCCCTACCTCAACGGTCTCTGCTTATCTCCAGAAAATTCAAAGAGGAGGTCTCATACAACCATTTGGCTGCTTAGTAGCCATTGATGAGAAGAACCTTGCTGTTATAGGGTATAGCGAAAATACTCCAGAATTGCTTGATTTGGCACCATGTACTGTTCCAAGCATTGAACAGCAGGAGTGTCTGACCATTGGCACTGACATTAGGACTCTATTTCTTTCATCAGGGTCTGCTGCACTTCAAAAGGCAGCAAGCTTTGAGGAAGTCGGTTTGACCAATCCGATTCTGGTCTACTCGAGAAATTCCAGGAAGCCCTTTTATGCAATCCTACATCGGGTGGATGTTGGCATAGTTATAGATTTGGAGCCTGTGGATCCCAAAGATCTCCCCGTGACGGCCATTGGAGCATTGGAATCATATAAATTAGCATCCAAAGCCATTTCCAGGTTGCAATTGTTGCCAAGTGGGGATATACAACTGCTGTGTGATGTTCTTGTTAGGGAAATGACGGATTTAACAGGTTATGACAGGGTCATGGTTTATAAATTCCATGAGGACGGCCATGGGGAAGTTGTCTCAGAATGCTGTAGCAAACCAGACCTTGAACCTTATCTTGGGTTGCATTACCCGTCCACTGATATACCGCAAGCTTCGAGAGTTATTTTCATGAAAAACAAGGTCAGAATGATATGTGATTGCTTAGCTCCATCAGTTAAAGTGATCCAAGACAAGAAGTTGGCTGAACCGTTAAGCTTGTGTGGGTCCACGTTAAGGGCTCCACATGCTTGCCATGCACAATACATGGCCAACATGGGGTCTGTTGCATCTTTAGCAATGTCCGTAACGATCAATGAGGACAGTGACGAGCCAGGTTTTGAAGATCAAGAAAAGGGAAGAAAACTTTGGGGATTGGTGGTTTGCCATCATTCAACCCCACGGTTTGTCCCATTCCCATTGAGGTATGCGTGTGAGTTTTTGGTCCAGGTTTTCAGTTCTCAGATCAACAAGGAAGTGGAGTTGGTGGCGCGCCGTCAGGAAAAACATATCCTGCGAATCCAAATGGTACTTTGTGACATGCTACTCAGAGATTCCCCCATTGGGATTGTCACCAAGTCTCCTAATATTATGGACCTTGTGAGATGTGACGGGGCGGCTCTTTACTACAAGGGCAAAGTTTGGTTGCTTGGGTCCACCCCGACTGAGCCCGAAATCTGTGACATAGCCAACTGGCTACTTGACTCTCATAGAGAGAGTACGGGGTTAAGCACTGATAGTCTTGTGGAAGCTGGCTATAACAATGCCTCTACTCTCAGTGATTCAGTCTGTGGAATGGCTGCCGTTAAAATATCTTCTAAAGATTTTCTCTTTTGGTTTAGATCTCACACGGCAAAAGCAATCAAATGGGGTGGTGCGAAAAACAACCCCACGGATATGGATGACGAGAGGAAAATGCATCCAAGATCTTCCTTCAAGGCTTTCCTGGAGGTGGTTAAGAGGAGTCTACCATGGGAAGATATGGAAATGGATGCGATTCATTCCTTGCAGCTAATATTAAGAGGGTCTTTGCATGAAGATGGTTCTAAGATGATTGTGAGTGTATCTCCTGCTGCCGTGGACCTTACCAGTATACAGAGGGTCCATGAGCTTCATTTCGTGACACATGAAATGGTCCGTCTTATTGAGACTGCATCTATACCCATTTTGGCTGTTGATGCCTCCGGTTGTGTCAACGGGTGGAATGTCAAAGTGGCCGAGCTTACTGGATTGGTTGTAGGACAGGCTATAGGTGTGCCCTTAGTTGATCTGGTTCTCAAAGAGGCTGTTGGCACCGTTTCAAATGCTCTCTCACTTGCTTTGCAAGGTCATTATATCTTATCTTCGTATTCTTGACATTTGGATTAAATTTTGTTATACTACTGTAAAAAATCAATTCTAGCTATGTTTTTTTGCCTTAAATAAATTTAACATGCTTATCTATTAGGGACTTTTTTAAATATTTGTTTTGGTAAAAGTTAGCCTTTTTTGAGATTTGGTGACGGAGGAAGTATATGATTCTTCCCCATACTGATATATAATTATTACATTGAATGTTAGGCAAAGAGGAAAAAAATGTTGAAATCAGACTAAAAAAGTTTGATTCGCTAGAAAACGATGATCCTGTCAATCTGGTAGCGAATGCCTGTTCGAGCCGGGACACAAAAGGAGATATTATTGGAGTGTGTTTTGTAGGACAAGATGTAACTGGACAAAAGCTGATTATGGACAAATATAACCTTATACAAGGTGATTATGTTCGGATATTACATAGCCCTTCTCCGTTAATCCCTCCAATCTTTTTAATGGACGAGTACGGAAGATGCTTGGAATGGAACGATGCAATGCAGAAGTTGACCGGATTGAAAAGAGAAGAGGCCATCGGTCAAATGATTCTTGGTGAAGTCTTCACAGTGAGCAGCTTCGGTTGTAGGGTCAAAGATAACAGCACGTTGACAAAACTCATGATATTACTGAACGGAGTAATTTCTGGACAGGATTTACAGGAATTGATATTTGGGTTTTTTGATGAGCATAATAAATACATCGAAGCTTTAATATCAGCTAATAGAAGAGTTGATGTGGCAGGGAGGATTAGTGGGGTCCTTTGTTTTTTACACGTTCCCAGCCCAGAACTACAGCATGCAATTCATGTGCAAAAACTGTGTGAGCAAGCAGCTGCAGATGGCCTAAAAAAGTTGGCATATCTTCGTCATGAAATTAGAAATCCATTAAATGGTATAAAATTCATTCAGAATATGATGAGATCTTCTGACCTAAGCAAGGATCAATTTCTGCTTCTGAAGACTAGTATGACGTGCCAAGAACAACTGGACAAGATCATTGATGATACCAATATTGAAAGTATTGAGGAATGGTAATGATAACAATCTGCCTTCCACCATTATTATTGTTGTAATGCTATGTTTGTTGTTTTACTATGTTTGTTGTTCAAGAGTTTGTCCTACACAGAAGTCATAATATTCTATATGTAAGTTGGTTTGTTATTTCATATTTAGCTGGTGTGGGGCAAAGTGGCAAACTCTTCAAGATGCTTTGAACAAATGTGACTTGATATGAAAATATTAAGATCTGATCTTGGATTGGTTGGTCTGGTTTGGTCTGATTGGATTGTAGTTTCCTGTCCTGTCTAATTTGACTGTCTGGATTATTTTTACATCTAATCTGGTCTAACTTGACCAAAATAAGAAAAAGTGATATGCCAACTATATAAGATTATTTACTCTTTCTTCGGAAATGGAAGTCTCATTCTCTCATATGATCATTGCTGAAAGCAAGATCTCTCTGCAAACTAAACAAGATTATTTACTCTTGTGTGTCTACTCTTTTGAAACTATTTCAGCTATATGGAAATGAACTGTTGCAAGTTCAATCTTGGTGAGGCTATGAAAGCTGTGGTAAATCAAGCTATGATTCCAAGCAGGGAGTGGCAGGTGGAGGTCATGTGTGATTTTCCCATTGAAGCATCGTCCTTGTTCCTGTTTGGAGATAATTTGAGGATTCAACAAGTGCTCTCTGACTTCTTGATGGCCACTCTACTCTTCACACCCCATTTTGAAGATTCATCTGTCTTGTTTAGAATTATTCCTACCAGGGAGCCTCTAGGAACCACAATGCATCTAGTGCATCTCGAGTTTTGGTAATAATACTACTTAAACTTAATCATGTTCACCATTCCTGGTAATACAGTGTTTTTTTGGGTTTTTTTGTCCCTATAATTTACGTTCCCTTCTTTAAGCCTCTCTCGGCTTAAAAAACTGACGTAGCTCACAAAATGCAAAAAGGACATCCTTGTTATGTTGTGTGTCGTGTCACATTTCTATAAATGATTACTTTGTAACATGGTAGCTTGTTTGGTTTCCTGATATTAACCTGGATTGTTTGTTTTGTATGTCTCCAGGATGACACATCCAGCCCCAGGTGTTCCAGAAGAGCTAATCCAGGAAATGTTCAAGAAAAGCGAAAGCATGTCAAGGGAGGGTCTTGGTTTGTATATAAGCCAGAAACTTGTTCGAATTATGAATGGCACTGTACAGTATGTACGAGAGGCAGAGAGATCTTCCTTCGTAATCTTTGTAGAATTTCCAGTAGCATAACAATCAGAAAATTTCTATTATTATTAATACTATTATTATTTTGGTGTGTTACGATTTGTTTGAGAACTAGAATGAACGTGATAAAAAGATGCAGGAATGGGATGATTCAGAAGCAACACCTTTCGGTTGCTGTTAATTAAACTTCTTCTGAGTGATGATTCAAAAGGTAATGGTTGCTCGGATTACACTTGAATGCTTAAATTTGTTAATTTTTAAATACCTTTTTTTTACCATGGAACCCATTCAGATAATCAAATAAATTATCGTGCACTTCAAGTGCATATTTTCTCATCCTACCAATTTCTCCTCTCTGCAGAGTTGAAATAGCTATAGCAATGGGGGATAAAGAATCAGATGTCTTAAAGGTATGATATTAGACTATGAGCCCGTTTGGTAGCGCAAAGTTGTGCTGAGTGTGCTTAATTATGAAATAACTATATTATATAAAATACTCTGTACATTTCAAAGAGGGAAAAATAATTAAAATACCCCAAACTTTGAAGGTGTGTGAGATAAACACCCCAAACTTTCATATGTAATTTAAATACCCCAAACTTTATATAAAAAATTATTTTAGCACCATGGTCATATATTATTTCTTTCAAAAATGTAAATTTATGGTGACCATTGCATAATTTAAAATAGTAAATTAAAAATGATGCAATTATATAGAGTGGGTGTAGTATTATTTATTTTACAATGGAGGTTTAGAATGTTAATTGTATCTTCATGAATGCAAATATTTTAAATTATGAAATTAACACCAAAAATTAATATTTTTGAAAGAAATAATACACGAAAATGGTGCTAAAATAACTTTTTATATAAAGTTCGGAGTATTTAAATTACATATGCAAGTTTGGGGTGCTGACCTCATACCCCTTCAAAATTGGGGTATTTTAATTATTTTTCCCTTTTAAAGAAAAAATTATATGGAAAAAGCTAGAAGATTATCCTCTTCAGCACATCAATCATAAAAATATCTTAAGCCTTACTTTTCTTTATTATTTAACTCAGCACACAAAATAAAAGTGTAGTGTTTGGTAAGAAATCTGGCTAATAAGGTTTATAAGCCAAATAAACAAGGTTACCAAACTGGCATTATAAGCACACTTTTTATTCATTGCTATACTGCACATATTTTTACTGTATGTATAGTAGGTGTTACTTGGCTTCTACCCTGGCCAATTGAACTGGCATTGAGTTGAATGAAGGATACTTATCTTATCAACCATGCTCTCTGTAAAGATGATAATTTTTATTTCATCGGAATTCTTCTCGTGCTTATGGCTGGACTTGTGTGCTATCTTCAGATTTTATTTACTCCGTATAAAAAAACTAAGGTCAGATACCGATGTAACATCGTGTGGAAACATGCATTTTAAGTGTCTTGATAGTATGTTATCAATGACAATTATTTTTACCCTTTGAGGTTTGGTCATAATTACATAGTACTACCTTGAGTTCTTGAAAGCAAAATAATAACCCGTTAGAGTTCAATTACTCCCTCCGTTCCTAAAAATTCTTCCCGGTTTGACTTGGCACGCTTATTAAGAAAGTGGAATAAAGTGGAAATGTACGGTTGTGGTTGGGTAAGAAAAAGGTAAAATGAATGTGAGCCACACAAATTGTCCAAAATGGGAAAGTGGGAAGTATTTTTGGGAACAGCCCAAAAAGGAAAGTGGGAAGTATTTTTGGGAACGGAGGGAGTATTATTGTTGGGATGGTGGCAATATGTTATCAATGACAATTATTTTTACCCTTTGAGGTTTGGTCATAATTACATAGTACTACCTTGAGTTCTTGAAAGCAAAATAATAACCCGTTAGAGTTCAATTATTATTGTTGGGATGGTGGCAATATGTGATATCAACGCTCAACTCACATTGAAAGTTGAACCTCAAGAGTCAAGACGAACCTCTAACCCCATAAGTTGGTGCTGAAGTAGCCATGGACTCGGGTCGGGCCTGGGTCTGGACTAGGCCCGGCCGGGCCGCCGGTTTGTAAGTGATGGGCCCGGAACCGGCTCAAGGTCTGGACAGTTCTGGTTCGAGCCGGGCCACCCGCTCGGGTCACGGGTTGGGCCACCCGCCGGGCCGGACCGGTCCGGTTAAATCCATTTTTTTTTAATAATTTATACTTTATAGTTTTATACAAGTATTAAAAACAAATTTCAAGTGCATTTATTTGAAATGAAATAGGAACTACATTTGACAAGTTACAATTGAGAATTGAAGGTAAAATTAAAACATGAAATAATAATCAATCAGAATCTCCGTAATAGGTAGAGTCACCCTCGGGTCTCGGTTGTAGATTCATCCATAAAGTGTTGGGATGGGGTGATGTCAATTTCTTGAGCTCTACGGGTCGCCTTCAACCAATCGTGGTGGCATATAAGCATCTCAAGAGATTCTACGCTCAACCTCGTTCTACATTGCGTTAGGACTAGGAATGGACTCGGGCCGGGCCTATTTAATTTTTTTTTTTAATTATTATATAATTAGAATAAATCTTATTACAATTACAATATATTATATTCGAATTGAAGTATATTTATTTCAAATAAGAAGTACAATTGAGAATTAGGATGAATTTAAAAAATGTAATACATTTTGTAATAAAAAATCAATCGGACTCTCCGCCTTCGGTTGTTTCCTCCATAAAGTGGCGGGAGGGAGTGATGGTAATTTCTTGAGTTCTTCGTTGGGCCTTCAACCAATCGTGAAAGCAAACTAGTGTCTCAAGAGAGCTCGGGCTCAACCTCGTTCTAAAATCGGTTAGGACGTTGCCGGCCGCACTGAATTCTTGTTCCACGGCAACGGTTGATATCGGCATTGCTAGTACTTGCTTAGCCATCTTTGATAAAATCGGGAATGTTCTTTCATTTTCCTTCCACCACTTAAGAACGTCAAAGTCATCACCAACTTCATAATCAACATTCAATGTTAGATACAAAGAAAGCTCGTTACCTGAGCTTTGTTCAGTAGCGGGAGTTGCTCTACTTTTTTTCAAAAGAGAACCAAAAGCGGATTTTAAAAGTGATTTTCCTTTAGATGAAGAAGATGTTCGTTGCATGGGAGGGGGTGCATTACCATATGTAGCAATTAACTAATATGAGAAATGTAAAAATGTAGCAATTAACTAATTAACTAATATGAGAAATGTAACAATTAAGTAGTTTAACTAATATTAATATGACAAATGAAACAATTAACTTTAACTACTTTAACTAATATTAATATGACAAATGAAACAATTAAGTAATTAAATAGATAAACGAGAAGTGTATATATAAATCAAATGTATAACTATATATAGTATATATAAATATATAATGTGTAAATATATTATAAGTAATATATAATATAATGTATAACTATATTATAAGTAATATATAATATAATGTATAACTATATATAGTATATATAAATATATAATGTGTAAATATATTATAAGTAATATATAATATAATGTATAACAATATATAGTATATAATATAATGCGTAAAGAATTATAATATGAATGTGTATAAGTATATATTTATAAGTAGATAATTAATATTATAATATATAAGTAGATATAATAATTATATAAATTATATATATGTAGAAAGAATTTGGAGAAGATGAAGAATGAAGATGATTGAATATGAGAGATTAAGAGAATAGAGAATTTAGATTTTAGAGAGTAGAAAGAGTTGTAGAAGAAGAGGTGTAAAAAATGTATAGAAAATAGGAGTATAAATAGGTTTTTTTTTGTATACCCCACCCCCACCCCCACCCCACCCCCCCTAACCCCCCAGACCCCCCCTCCTATGCTCCCAACGGCTATAGAGCCGTTTGGGAGGTCTCCCAACGGCTAGTAGAGCCTTCAAATTTTTTAAAAAAAAAAATTGTGACCGTTGAGGCCCGGCCCGGCCGGGCCGGTTCACCAAATCATAAGCCCGGGCCCGAACCGCTACATGACCGGGCCGGGTGGCCCGAACCGTGACCTAACCGACAAACCGGGCCGGTCCGGGCCCGCACAGTAGCGGGCCGGTCCGGTTCCGGGCTGGTTGGCCCGGCCCGAGTCCACCACTAGTTAGGACGTTGTCGGTCAAACTAAATTCTTGTTCCACAGCAACTGTTGAAACCGGCATTGATAGCACTTGCTTAGAAATCTTTGCTAAAACCGGAACATTCTTTCTTTTCCCTTCCACCAGTTTAGAACGTCAAAATCATCATCTTCTTCAAAATCAACATCATATGTTAAATACAAAAAAATCTCATTAATTGTACTTTATTGAGTAGCGGAAGTTGATTTCGTTTTTTAATAAGATTGGAAAAGTAGATTTCAAAATTGATTTTCCTTTAGATGAAGATGTTTGTGTCGCGGGAGGGCGCGCGTTGTATTGTGCATGAAATTCATTAAATAATGCATAAAATATATCACTAACCTCGTTGTATTCTTTTTTCGGATCAATTGGGTTGTCCTCATACATTGGCATTGGACCAAAAAAAACAGCATAATAATAATTCAAACATTCTTCTAAAGAATCAAGTCTAAAATGAGGATCGAGAACAAATGCAATACCATAAATATGCGGAATATGTGAATAATATTTTAAAAACTTTTCCTTCATAAAACTAGCAACATAACTCACATAATCAGCATTCTCAAAATTTGAAAAAGCACCGGCGAGATTAACAGTTTCACGAATAAATTGGTTTTAGATAGGTTTATAAACATGACTAAAAGTTTCAGTTGCATTATTAAAATATATCAAAGCATTGCAAATTTTTTCACAGGTGTCGATCTCAGCCGAGTTTATAATATAGTTGTCATATTGTTTCATAAAAGCAGGAAAATGTTGTTTATATCTAAGAAGAAATGCAATTAACTTATAAGTATTATTCCAACGAATAGACAAATCTTTAGGAAAAGTCACATATTTCTCACCTCTTTCTATCAAACAATCATGTCATTTTTCTCTAAGTTGTCCATTACCCCAAATACGTCTAATCCCCCCTTGACTACCTCCAAAGATGCTCCCAACACTTTTAGACCATCTTGCACACATAAATTTATAACATGACATGCACATCGTTGATGAAAAAAATCTACTCATCAAAGAAGTAGAACCACACAATTCACGCAATCTAGGAATAACAGCAGTATTATTAGTAGCATTATAAAAACCAATAGCAAACACCTTATCAATTAAATTATACTCAATTAAAATATGCTCAATCAAAATATAAATATGTTCAGCGGTGTGACGATCATTAAATTCAAGAAAAGCAAGAACATGTTTATGCATATGTCAATCATTATCAATATAATGTACAATCAGACCCAAATAATGCAAATTATGATAAGTATCCTCCCATATGTCAGAACATACAGTAACACGCCCATCAAAGTTTGCAAAATAATTTTGTAACCTTACCTTTTCCGCACCATAAAGCCTTGAAATTTCTTTCTTAACCGTTTTGAGACTATAACTTTTATATTGAGGATTTAAACAAGTTTGTGCATAATCACGAAAGGCAAGACTTTCAGAAAACAAATAAGGCAAATTTTCTTCAACAAGTAAATTAGTCATACTAGTCAAATTTTGTGCATCATTGTATGAGAAATTACCAAAAGCTTGTTGGTTATTTCCAGACCTCGATATTTGAGTTTACTTCCCCGTTTCGCCGCCTAATTTTGCATACTCCACCGGGTGTTTGGACTTAAGATGTCTTGTGGCGGATCCGTATCCGCCGGAAATCCCCAAGCTATAATTTTTCTAGCACCAATTGCAAGTTGCGTTCCAATTCCTGGTATTCGGGTCCTTCCACTTAGAAAAATTATTAGCCATTAGTTCAGCTTTACTTTTTTTCGTACCGGTTTGGGATGAGGCAGGCTCGTCGGCGTCGTGGCTGCCGCCACCCTCCTCCTCCTCGTCGTGGCTTTCCGGAATTACTTCCTCCACATCGTCGTCCTCGAGCTCTTCTTCGTCAATGGTCCTCGGTTGGTCTTGGAAAGAGTGTCTATTATGTCGGTGCAATTCTTGTTCTAGTTGTTCGTCGGTCATCACATCCCCATCCCTCCTTGCGTAACCCGTATCAAAATCATCTCGGCTTTGAAATGAAGAGACGATATGTGATTTACCTTTGCGGGATCTCTTCCTCGCAAGCTCGTTCGTTCGATTGCGCTCGAGGTTACCCATATCAACCGAATATCTTGCACGATCCATCTAAAAAATGTAACAAATACTCCCTCCGTGCCAATTTACTTAGCCATCTTTGACTTTTCCGATCAAAGATGGTAAACTTTGACCAATTATTTAAACTAATATATTTATGCAAAATTTAATAATTTTATACTTTTATGATAGTGTTTTTAACAAAGAACATTTTCATATCATTTTCATATTATTAATACTTTCTCTATATAAACATATAATCAGTCAAAGTTAGACTCCATTGACTTAAAAATCAAGATTGGCTAATTAAAATAGGACGGAGGAAGTATTAAATTGTAACTGTTATTTATTTATAAAATTCGAGTGAAATGTGAAGTAAAAAAAATGTGAATTCAACCAAAATTTATAGCAATACTATTGTTTAATAAATAGTCAAAACTAACAATTAACTAGTTTTTTACAAGCAATCAAATTATTATTGTTTAACTAGTTTAATGAAAAATTAACTATTTAACTAGTTTTTAAACTAGTTTTTTGTACAACCTGTTTTTTTAACTAACAATCAAATTATTATAGTTTAACTAGTTTAATGAAAAATTAACTATTTAACTATTTTTTAAACTAGTTTTTTTGTACTACCTATTTTTTTTAACTAACAATCAAATTGTTATAGTTTAACTAGTTTAATGAGAATTAACTAGTTTTTTAAACTAGAGTCAAAGGTAGCAATTAATAAAAAAATGTAATAAAGTAATTAACTACTTTAATGAAAAATTAAACAATTCGTGGGAAAACTAATTAACTAATCAAGTAATGTTAATACAAAATTAAACAAGTGTAAATAATAGAATGATTTCGTACATGTTTCGGTCTTTCGGATGGGAGTAATAGAATGACTTCGAATTAATTAGATATAATTCCAACTATATTAATAGATATAATAAATGTATAAGTAATATCTAATTAGATAAGAAATATAAGTAATATAATGTAAGTAATATAATGTATGTATTTATAAGTGGATAATTAATATAAAGTAGATATATAAATATAATATATTGGAGAATAAGAGAATTTGAGAAGATAAAGATAATTAGAGAGTAGAGAGTTAAGAGTAGGATTTAGGAAGAGTTGGAGAAGAGATATGGAAAAATGTTTAAGATTAAGATTATTTATAGGTTTTTTTACCCCACCCCCACCCCCCAAACCACCCAAACCCCCTTCAGCCCACCCCCAACGGTCATTTGGCCCAAATAAAAAAAAAATAAATAGAGCCGTTGTGACCCGGACTCGGACCTGACCCGGCCGGGCCGGGTCACGTTTTATAGGAACCGAGCCCGCAACCGCTAAGCCCACCGGTTCGGGTCTACGCCCGGTCCCGGACCGCCCGACCGGGCTGGTTCCGGGCCAGGTCACGGGCCGGGTGGCCCGAACCGAGTCCACCACTGTGCTGAAGTGTGGTATCAAAAGCATGGCGGTCACTGTGGATGATCTTTATTCTGCTCAAATGGATTTACAATTAAGCAAGCTGGAGAAAACTATGCAGAAAAATATGGTGATTATAGCGGACATACAGGCGAGACTCGCGACCCTTGTAGTGAAAACTAGAACCGATTGAGGAACAGAGTTCGTTGACCCAAATAACATCATCTGCGATCTGACAAACGGAGTTCGTAGCAGTCGCTCACCAGTCCGCAGATGGAGTGGCGAACTGCTTCTCTTAGTTGGCAATCGTGAACTTCTTCTCACAGATCGCAGTCGCGAACAGTTTCTCTTCGTTCGCAGACTTCCTCACCGGCTGTCAGCTCACGCCCAAGAAAGACGCGATTGAGATGAGAATCTTCATCTTCGTCGCCAGTTGATTCTCACTTTCTTCGTCTCAAGTTGTTTTTCTGAGTTCGTAAGCAACTTATTCCGGTCCTCTGGCTTCGACGCGAGCGTAAATCCCCTGTTCGCAATCGCTATCCGAGTCCTCAGATTCACAGCAGGAGTTAGTTAATCAGCAGCAACCTTCTTGGAAGATGCACACAACTATGGTGACGAGGAACACAAGGAGAAATTGTCAGTTAACCTTGGACCTGTACTTGAAGCAATTACTTGCTTCCTCACTCGTAACATCCCCCCCCCCCCCCCCCCCCCCCCCCCCTCGAGGTCCGAGCTCGTTATTTCATAATTGGAAACCAATATGATGCGGTCGATTGAGCATAGCCCTCCAATTGATGAATACATTCAAGTCAAGATAAACCAGGCTGGGAAGTCAACCCCTATATCTCGAGGTATTTACCTGAGAGGGATTAATACTTGTAACCACTCAATTGAGTGAACAGTGGTGGTTCAACCAAGGTTTCATGAGGATGCCAGTAATTTAGAGCAATTGAAAAAGTACCTCATTGGTAACAATGTTGACAACTTCAAGGTTGGCAATTGTTCAGCCAACTTCGCTTTGTCTGTGGTTATAATGTCAAATTACGGTTGAGCGATAATTGCAATGGTGAGACAATGCTACAACCCAATAATCATGGAGCTATCTGAAAGACTACTATAAAAAATCCAGAAGGATCATTCATGTTATGAATTTGAACTGGAGAGCCTTGCAAGTGAAAATATGCACTGGATGGCACTTGACTTACATACACCAAAGATTCATTCTAGTTCGGTCAAATCCTTTGGGCGTAAGGCCTCTTGCTTCTATCTCCTGAAACACCTTTCTAGCTTCTTCCTTTTTACCATATTTAGAGAGCCCATCATGAATCTCAGTCAAGATAACTGAGTCAAGAGTAAAAGATCTCATTTGCAATTCTTTCAGCACTTGTATTACTCCATCATAATCATCATTCTTGATGAAGGTGGAAACCAAAACACTCAAAATATACTCATTTGGGTGACAACCAGCCCTAACCATACTCTTAAGGAGTTGAAAGGCACGATCAGAGTTCTTCTTTACACACTGTCCAATTATTAGCGAAGAGAATGTAGATGAATTTGGAACCAACCCTGCCTTATCAAGTTCTTTCACCAAATATGCAGCTTTCTTGGTCTTGCTCTCCCTACAAAACCCCAAAATCAATGCATTATAAGTCAAGATATCAGCTTTGATTCCTTTATCCCACATCTCTTCATAAACTTGATTAGCCATCTCACTTTTACCGGTTTGGCTGTACCCATTGATTAATGTGTTGTACGTAACAACACTTGGAGCCACACCAATCCTTTTCATCTCATTAAACAGCTTATTAGCCTCGTTCATTTTCCCTTCCTTGCATAACACATGGATCAGTGTACCAAAAGTAACATCATTTGGGCTAATCCCACCCCTCTCCATCGTGGTTTTTAGCTTCATAGCGGCACTGAGCAGACCACTATTACAGTGACCTGATATCAAAGTGTTAAATGACACAACGTTAGGTTTCAGATTTTTGTTCCCCATTTCCTTAAACACTTCAATAGCCTTTTCCAGTTTCCCTGATTTACAAAATGCGCCAATAACCATATTCAGAGTATACACATTGGGGGAGATCCTAGACCTTTGCATTTCCCTGTAAAATGACAGTGCAATATCTGCCCTGTTCAACCCCATTAACGAGCTAATATAAGCATTGCAAGACTCAACAGTGGGAAGAAACCCATATTCCCTCATACTACAGAACACATCAGTGGCATTCCTAAACTTCTTCATATGTGCATAGGTTTTAAACAGGGAATCAAAAACACGCGGGGAAGAATCGCACATTCTATATGAATATATCAGGGAATCGAAGAGCTTTGCCGGAAGATCAACGTCTAAAGAGCATGATTCCAAAAGCTTTCTTAGGACCGATTCCGCCGATTTAAACTTCCTGTGTTTGGTAAGGACGTGAAGAACGATGGAGCGGGACTCTAGTGTATGCAATTTGGGGGCTTTGAGACCTACCCAATTAAAAAACTCTAGCGAAAGCACGTAATCCTTTTGGGTTTTCAGGAGAACGTGCTTTACTCTGAAAGGCGTCAACATGGAGGATATAGATTCGAGGTTCGCCCAGTCGGAGTGGGTGAGGTGACTGTGAGCCACATTCACGAAATCAAGGTCTTGCCCTTTGGGTTCCGGAACCGTTCTGTGCGGCAGCGGAATTGGGGCCCGATTTCTCCTCTTTGAGTTCACTGAAGAATTGATGAATCCTAGTGAATTTTGGTTGGATTTCTTCGCGGAATCCACAAGTATTGAAAGCATGCGATGTTGTATGCTATTCATTGATTTCCACAGTTCAGATGCGATTCGTTTGCAAGTCCAACCCTAGCTTGATGTCAAAGTAGATTTCCCTCAACCTGAATTCCGTCGAGAAATTGCGAGCTACCATGATCAAGATAATTTAAAGCGGGCAAATATTATTTGTAAGCACTGTTCTAAGCCGAGCCTTTTAAGTCCAAGGGAAATAGGCGGAAGCTGTGTTTTAGATTTATATTCTACCTCACTACCCCCTAGTAAATTACACAGTTTTGATAAATAAATTTATTAGGGGTAAATTTTACTGTTTTGACTTTGTTTTGACACTGTTTGTCACTGTTTTACATTGTTTTGCACTGTTTTAATGTAGATAATTTGTCAAATAAGGAAATGTGGGGAAGTGTAAATTTAATTGTAGGACTGATCAAAATGGAAAGTGGGAACTTAGTCTATGTTTGGCAGGCATAAGTCTCTATCTTCTAGCTTTTGTACTGTTCAAAAAGTCTCTAAAAGCTTCTAGTTATATGTTTCGCATGACAATTTTTAAGAACTTTTCAAAAATTGAAAGATTTTTTTAGATGCTATAGGGATTAGCATCTAAAAAAAAGCTCGTGACTTTTAGTATTAATTAGTCCTAACAGCTTGTATACCAAACTGAACTAAATCAAATAGTCAGCTTTTTATCAAACAGCTATCACCTTTTCTCTTTAAAATCTTTTCAGTCACTAAAAGCTAACAGTTATTAAAAAGCTCACAAAAGCATCTTTTCAGCTAGTTGTGACAAACATACCCTTAGTTGGGGGATGGAGGGAGCATAATTTTTGAATGTATAAGAAATGTAAATACAAAATGATATATTGTTGTTTTTACTATGATGTATTAGATTTCATATATAACATGTTTAATGTTGGGTTAATGGCCCAACAAGGGCTGACCCATTAATCCATAAGGGCCTCCTACGAACGGCCCCAGAAGGCCCACGAGGACCTCCTACGAATGTCCTGTTGAAAGCTCAAGACGATGGGTTAATTACATGTCCGCTGGTTCGGGAAGAGAGTCATCCTGAAGAGAGACAAGCTTCAACACAAAGGGTCAGGGGCGTACGTACCCCATTATAAGCAGGGATCCAGGCCCAAGACTCCCGCAGGGTATATGGGGACAAACGCCCCCACCCCGACGGGATGCCAAGAATAGGTCAAGAATAGCTTAAGGGTAGCTCAAGTGCATGGGGACGAACGTCCCCGCCCCTTGGCAGGGGATCAGGACTCCAGCAGGAGACAGAAGGCAAGCCCTTGGGGACGAACGTCCCCACCCCGTGGCGGGAATCCAAGATCCTGGTGGGAAATGCATTTAATGCAGAAGATTTGGTGGTTGGGATTATACCATCCACAGCCAGTCACGTCAACACATCCAACCACCCATTGGCAGTATAAATAGTAGCATTTATTTCACTGTAAAGGGTTCGTATTTTAGCACTCTAGCATTCTAGCAATTGTATTAACACGTAGCGCAGCACTGTACGAACGTCCCTTCGGCTTTGTAATCAAATCAGTGTATTGAAACTCATTATTGGGCCTTTCCTTGCTTGTTCTTCATCTAACTCACTAAACCATCCACTCGAGACCCTTGGGTTATGTGTTGGGCTCACGGGTTGAAGGAATAAACATCAACACTGGCGTCGTCTGTGGGAAATCGATCAAAAAGTTCTTTCAAACTAAGCTCTCATCTAAGAAATCACTCCAAAATACACCAAAAAACAAGTGAGATGGCAGCTAACAACGCAGGAAACTCCCATGATCTCTCTTCGCGGCTAGCTCACAGCAGGAGGAACCGCAACCAGGCAGCATGGCCCAGTCTAGCAGCCTATGGTCTCGCGGGGACTTCGGGGTACTCACTGACTTGATCCCCCAGGAAGTCCGGTGGGATTCGAATGCCTTAAGGGAGATAGCAGACACCATTCACCATTTGGCGGACGAACGGGAGGCGGAACGTGTGTACTCCGCTAACACAGAGCGAACACCGTTCTCCCCCCTCCGTTCGATGCAGACGCTCGGCGAGCGTACTGATGAGAACGATGATTCTCGCCAATCGGTCCATACCAGGATCGTCAGGAACATTCACTCTCCGGATATGGGAGGCAATGGGGGGACCAGGCTCTTCAGAGGGGCGCGACGGCACACGGACCGGGACCACACCCCAGTGATGCCCCGCAATGATCAGACCGCGAGGGAGCACACCCCCTGATGGAAGGCATGAGGCAGGAGGCCCATGTCGTCCATGGACATCATAACTTCGGGGTCATGCGGAGGGATGATGCCTTAGCATTAGTGAACCCCACACTTGTGGTCACCGACCCCCGGGACGCTATGCTTATGAACATGGAGAGACAGATCGATGAGTTGAGCCGACGGGCGGATACAAACCCGGCTCAGCCGAGGATCGCTCTATCTTCTCCTTTCTCCGTTAGGATCATGGCGGTGGAAATTCCTAAAGATGTCAGGCCCCCTGCGGCATTGATTTACAATGGGGTCGGGAACCCCAAAGCTCACTTGATTTCCTTCCAGGGAACGCTTTCCATGCTGGGAGCCTCGGATGAGGCCATCTGTAGGCTGTTCTTCAGCACCCTCAGAGGGCTAGCACAGAAATGGTTCGGACAGCTCAGGCCCGGATCCATTGACAGTTTTGAACAACTTTCCAGGCAATTCATGGCGCAGTTCGCCTCCAGCTCTACACCGAAGAAGCATTTCAGCTGGCTGACGAACGTCCGCCAAAATAAGGGGGAGTCCCTATCTACCTTCCTCATCAGGTGGAGGGACGAAACTCTGAAGGTGGAGGATCTTCCGGGAGACACCGGCATTACCCTCTTCACCAACACACTCACCACCGGGGATCTCTATCGGGATCTGAAAAGGAACCCCGAAAATAACTATGTTGAGGTGTTGGCTATGGCACAAAACTTCACTGCAATCGAGGAGGAAATTGCTCAACGGGATGGGGTTATAACCCCTGCAACACGCAAAGTGGCGGACTGACGGGGTTCCGGTCCGTGACAAGTTTGTCACTGTCGTTGTCACGGATATATCTCGTTTATCGCCAAGAACATTTTTCACGGATTTTCCCGTGACAAATGCCGTGACAAAAATTTGTCACAGATTCTGTCCATGACAAAATGAAATTTTCAAATTTTCTATTCCCCGCCCAGCCTATTTCTGAAAATAAAAAAAATAAAAAAAACTTTGTCCCGGATAATTCCGTGACAAATATGTACCTACACAATGTCACGAATTCGGATCCGTAACAAAAACTTTGTCACGTCCGTTTTGTCACGGATATAGGCCGTGACAAAATCCGTGACAACCCCAGATTTTTTGTAGTGCACAATGTCATCTATTCTTTTTGTCAAAAAAATCGTTCTTTCATTTTCCCTTTATCCCAATCTAAACTCTCCTTTTCTTTTGGCAATATAACTTCAAATAACATCAAATATCTCTCATAAATTAAATCGACAATAACACATATATATTTTAGAAATAATTCTTAATAATATGAACAAAAATAACATCCCAATCAAATAAAAGTTATCCCTAAACAGGATCATTCATTTGATATAAATTTTAATTTGATGCTAAAATGATCAGGTTTCTAGTGAAAATTAGTTATGTATCACTTTTGTTATACACTCGAATAGTATTAAATTTCATTTTTCAAAATATATACTCCCTCCGATCCTTATTAAACTTTACACTTTGACTTCACACATATTAAGGAAATAAATTTGACTTTACTGTAGAGTACACTGTTTGGCACTGTTTGACACTGTTTTGCACTGTTTGGTGTAGATTTGTTTGCCAAACAATGTAAATAAGGAAGTGTAAAGTGTAATATGGGACAACCCAAAAAGGAAAATATAAAGTTAATTAAGGACCGGAGTATTATTATTAGATTATGAGTGATGGTGCATATATTTAAAGTTATTATGACAAAGAATTTATGATTTATATGATTTTTCTCTTATCTTTATACTCCGTAACATTTAACCATATAATTTTCATTTTTAAATTTCCCTGACAAGTTAACACGCAAGTTTAATATAAGAAGAAGTACTTGGGTTTTTTTTGTTTCACAACCAGAAATTTTTTTGTGCCATATTCATTTTTACGCATTATGCATTTTTCAATAGTAGATTAGGATTACCATACTCACAATCAGTAGTATTTAATAATTAAATACATACATACGTAAATAAATAAATAAATAAATAAATTGGTACAAAATGTGAGTATAAAAATGCATAAAATGCATATACACATACATAGTAGAAATAATTAAATATTTATGATTAAAATAATGATTGTTTACAAAATATGACTAATGATTAGAGTAATGATTGAGTCATAGTAACTTATACTAAATTTTTAAACTTGGGTTAATATGACACTACATTGTAATAACTATTAATCATATTTGTGTAAATAAGTTTTATTTTAGTACTACGTAACATTTTTTTAAAAAAACCTACGTAGTACGGAGTATTTTTTATTTAAATTTTTCTTTCATATTAATAATATTGAGTTTTGATATAAAAATAAAAAGGAGCATTGAACATAATTTTTTTTAGTTTTTATTTTTTTAACTTAATATACTCATCGGTGTGTTTTTAGTGTTTTTTGAGTTGTAATTGGATGATTTGTTCATTGATAACACCACCAACCGGAGATGATTGATAGACATCACCCTCTTCACTCTCTTATTATAAAGTTCCATATTTTCATTGTTTAGGAATGGATTTTATAACATCACCAACCGGAGAAGATTGAAATGAAGATTTGTTGATGGACATGACGACGGCAACCGGATGGTAATACTACTTCAAACAATGGGGAACGGTTAAACATGAACATGGACGTACGCCATGGATGATTTAGGTAGCTGTGTGGAAGGTGTTTATTGTTTGTTCTCTTTATTTTTGTATTTTTTGAGAGAAAAAACAAATTCTTCTTGCAGTCCCTGTGTACACAGACGACTAATAATTAATGTGTACACAAACAACTAATATACACAAAAAACTAATATCTGTATACAGACATTTAGTGTGCAAATTCCTATATACAGACAAATGGAGTGAAAAAAATCATGTAAACAAACAAATGGGTGATGAGTAAATTTGTGTATAAAGACCAATGGACAGTGATTAATTCATGTATACAGACAAGTGGAGTGAGAAAATTCATGTATACAGACAAATGGGCGGTGAGAATTCTTGTATACAGACAAATGGACAATGAGTATATACCTCTATACAAACAAATGAACAGTGAGTGAACAGCTGGGTAAATTCTAAAAAAAACTTAACATCATTTGCTTTACAAGGGTCATCAAGAATAGTATTACCTAATGTTTTGCATGTTTCATCAAAATAGTATTACCTAATAAACAAAGACCTTGGATGATGAAGAAA